TAAAATAACGTTTGACTTAATAAAAATAAGTCAGTTTTAAGCGTAAAATGCATTAATTCTTTATATATATATATATATATATATATATATATATATTGCAAGTTGTTACATACGGACAAACAAGTACACACTACAAAAGATGCATATCTGTTTCGATGCGTAAGCATCTCGTCAGGTAATCACCTGATGAGATGCTTACGCATCGAAACTAATATGCATCATTTGTAGTGTGTACTTGTTTGTCCGTATGTAACAACTTATAATAAATAACTATTCGTCTGCTCTTGGTTTTGAGCCCTCTTTAAAATTAATGTTATGAACGTTTGAATTTATATTCTTTTCGTTCTCATTATATTTGTATATATGTATATATATATGTGTGTGTGTGTGCGTGTGTATGTGTGTGAAGAAATGCTGTCAGTCAGTGGAAATCTGAAAGAAAAGACATTTAAAGCAAGCAGTCTTTGCAATAAAGTGCTCGATAGCAGAGATATAGTATTAATAAGATTAATACAAATATAAAATTTGCCACTTAGCTGATTAATGTTATTTTCAGGATCTTGATTATAGAGTTTCGTAGACGGACACTTCAGTAATCACTCCCTCCACTCATCAGGAGACAGCAGCAATTGACTGTTTATTTTTTATTTTTTCACGACTTCTTTATTGAATTAAAAAATTATGCACTTTTTATTGCTATAGCATTTATTTTTATCTTCTTCTTTAATTTTGTCGATGTGTGTATGTGTGTGTGTTTGTGCGAGTGTATGTGTGTGCGTGGTCTTGTACATGGACCTCCCCGCGCGCATGTGTATGTGCACACGTATAGATTCTTGTAGTTTTTTTCTCTTTTTCGTCGTTTTTCTTGTCTCTTTATACTCTCTCCTTATTGGTTTTATAATGATAAAGTGTTTGTTTTTATCTGGTTTGATGGTAGTTCAGATGTTAGGGTATTATGTATATGTGGTTATTTTTTATAGATGTATTTTGTCGTTTGAATATATTTATATAAGATATATAATATACACGCATACACTCACGGACGCACCCACCCCCACACACACGCACATATATTTTCTAAGAAAATCAATGCACTAATTAGCATTAACATGGAGTCAATAAACTTTAATTACTCCTGAAAAAAATTACCCACATAAAACCTAGATTACAAAATCAAACCCACAAAAAAAAAAAAAAACACATTATAAAACACCAAAGATGGAAAGTATTTTAATTTCTTCCATAAAGACAATGGCAATAGTGGCAATGATAGTAGCAGCGATACTAATTACATTAATATAACCAAATTTGGATCGACATCAATGAAATTCTCACCCCAACAAAACAACCATAGTGCATTTGAAAATGACAAACATAATCAATAACTTGGGAGTAAAAAAAATCAACAATAGTAATAAAAAAAGACCGGAAAAGATCTAAAAATGTTAAACAACTCAAAAAATCTATTTATACAAGCAGATACATCGAGGGTAATCTATGAAATGGAAACCTACAATTCCGACAAACTAGTTACTAAATTTTACAAAACCGCAAATAACGAAACAGAAAGTGATATAAACAAAGAACTTGAAACATAATAACTAAACTAAAATTAGACAATAGAATAAAACAAGCAGCAAAAGTAGAATTATTTAATAAATTAAAAGACCATAAGGGCAACTTCACGACCAAACCAACATGCAGATTACTAAACCCCTCTAAAAGCAACATTAGGAAAATGAGCAAACATATACTATAAAAAGTATGCTCAAACCTAAGAAACATATTAAGCATAAATCAATGGAAAAACACAAAAGCAATAATTAATTGGTTTGATAGCATTAACAAAAAAGAAAACTGTTCTTTCACGCAATTCTCTATTAAAGAGAAAATATTAAATAACGCACAAAACGAATGAAGATATAGATATAATAAAATACTGTAGAAAGTCCATATTATACTACAATAAAAATGAACACAAAACAGTAAAAACGTAACAAGGGGCAGTTATGATGGTGATTAAGGGTTCTCGTAGGCATATACATAATCAACAGATTAGCAAATATAATTAACAAAAAGATATAGGTCTATGGACTATTAATATTAAGAAATTGTGACGCCAGAACAACAGATAAAAAAAAATAATAATAAAAACCTTCAAAAACCTAGGATTTACAATCGATATGTACTCCAAGAAAAATAGCAAATTTCATAGCTATAACCTCCAACCTGAACACCGAAACATACAAACCATACAGAAAAGCAAATAACAACACGATATATATTAACAAAAATTCCATCCCATAATGCATTCAAACAAATACCCATATCTATAAATAAAAGACTTTAAACAAATTCTATCAACTTAAAAATATTCAATGAAAACAAATAAAACAACATACGAATCAGCTCTAAGAAACAGCGTATATTAAAACAAAATAGAGTACAAAAACGTAAACAATACAAACAAAAACAACGGAAAACTAAATATAGAGAGAGATATGTATGTATTAATAAATATACATATTATCCTTCACCGGTTTCATCCACAACGCAATCTTCAGGTACTGGGTAAAGACGGACCGTTATATAATTTAAATTTTAATAAACATATCTGTTAACACAATGATGCCACAGTCCATGTATTTTACGGAGATTACGGGTTCATATATATATATATATATATATATATATATATATATATATATATATATATATATATGTTATTATTATTATTATTGGGCTTAAGTCTCTGCATGTGGTGGCAAATCGATTTGTAAAATCTCAAAATCAGTAGAAGCAGGAGTAGTAATAACTGAGCATTACTAAAAACAAACAAACAAACAAGATATGATATTCCCTAGAGATGAACCACAGAACGAGAATAATCGACTCCTGCAGTTTAAATAATGAATTCAATTGGTAATTCGACTGACACTTGAAGAAAGCCGGAGTTGCACAAGGGTCAAAACTAACATGCTAAATCTTCTGAGATTAGCATTATGTCTATGTATCCACAACCACTGTGGTAACGGTATAGGGGTTCCATCGAAGTGGAGCTGGATGTAAAGGTTTTGGTCAATGTGAATACATTCTTTTATAGGTGGAAAATATGTTTCAGGGTCAAAGACTATTCTATAAATTAGAATATAATCTTCCTTTTGTTTTTTAATTCAAAACCGTTAGGACAACACTTTGCTTCTTCCAAGTGAGTAAAATCCTTTATCGTATCAGCTAAAATAAAAACACATAGTTCATCAGTTTGGACCAGTCGTTGTTTTGGAGGCTTTCTGAATTCCCCTGTATTCGGCAAGGGACAATTTTCTTATTTTTTTTCTGAATGTATTGTAGATATTGGATAAAAATCCCAATTCAATTTGTTTCGTTTTCCTTTCAAAACAAATTTCTCTTCAAAATGTTTCAGACAGAGAACTGAATTTTTCGTTGGAAACCAATCAATACGATTAACAAATTTTATCCATTTTCCTATGAGGTCCGATTTTTCAAGAGGAAAAGAAAATGTCAATACTTTTTCACTGTTAGTAACATATCCACAAGAAAAGCTAAATGCGACACATTTGTTAATCATTTTTTAAACAAAATATCACAACAAATTTTATAATTTAATATTTAAATGCAATGGACTATAAGGTAGAAAATTTACCTAATAGCGTTCATTTGCAAAACGGGCCGTATACGCAAGTGAAAATCATAAAAGCGAGGTAACACCCAGCCGTTTATAATTCGTGGATTCGTAGAAAATGTGTAAATGTAGATTTTAGTGTTCAAAACATGTCTAGAGAATTGAAATAACGTCTGATAAATTCTACGTAATTGTACGTAGTTAATTTACGTTTAAGAATTCAATTAATATAATTAGTCTTGTATATACTGTGTGCTCCATTTTTTTTTACTTATTTGCCACAAGTGAAGGTTAGGAATTGTCATCTTTTGTCTTAATTTTTTTTTTTACTGTTTCACATCATTACTTCTGTGCTCCATGTGTTTATTTTTATTTATTTACTATAGGAATAAAGGCGAGGAATTGTTCTCTTTTGTTGTTTATTTTTTCATTTTACTATTTCACTTCATCACTGTTTACAATATGTGTACTGTACTGTGTATGTGCTCTATTTAAGTGACGTGGTTGCTTATGTAGGTGAGTTCCGACCTACGTCGAAAATCAGGTTATGTCGCGCCGTAGGAACGGATCTCCGACGTAAGTCGAGGACCCCCTGTAATGAGATAGATGAACATGCAAAAAAATAGATAAATAGAGAGATAGATAGATATTGTGGAAGACGGACTAACAGATAGATAGATAGATAGATAGATAGATAGATAGATATGAATATAATTATAAGATATGATATAATAACAGCGATAACAAAGATGACGTAAAGCCATAAATGATATCACTCAGTGGAAATATGAAAGCAAGAGAATTTAAAGCAAGCAGTCTTTCCAATAAAGTGTTCGGTGTCAGAGATAGCGCATTAATAGGATTAATATAATATAAAATGTGTTACTTAGCTGATAGATGTTATATTCAGCACCTTTCCTCTACTCCGGAGTTTCGTATCTAATTGTTCAGTCCAGTTGTCAAGAGACATTTGCTGGTATCTCCCGATGACTGGACCGAACAATTACACAAAGATTCGCTACGAAACACCGGAATAGAGGTGCTGAATATAACATCAATCAGCTAAATGACAAATTTTATATTTCTATTAATCCTAGAAGACATGATATATAGATAAATATAAATATATTGATAGATAAATGAACATGCAAAAAATGAGATAGATGGATAAATCGATAAATATACATACTGATAGATAGATAGATATGTAGATAGATATGAATATATGATAAATAGATAAATATTAATCCAATAAATAAATGAATAGATAAATGAACATGCAAAAAATAAGTTAAACAGACAGATAGACTGATAGATATATAGATAGCTATGAATATATATGATATATAGATAAATATTAATATGAGATAGTTAAATGAACATACAAAAAAATGAGATAGATAAATAAAGTAACAGATAGATAGATAGATAGATAGATAGATAGATAGATAGATATAGTATAGCACAGACTGATAGATAGGTAGGTAAGCAGATAGCTAAGACAGTCTGATAGATAGATAGATAGATAGATAGATAGATAGATAGATAGATAATATGACAGACAGACAAATAGATAGGTAGGTAAGCAGATAGCTAAGACAATCTGATAGATAGATAGATAGATAGATAGATAGATAGATAGATAGGTAAGCAGATAGCTAAGACAATCTGATAGATAGATAGATAGATAGATAGATAGATAGATAGATAGATAGATAGATAGATAGCATGACAGACAGACTGATAGATAGGTAGGTAAGCAGATAGCTAAGACAATTTGATAGATAGATAGATAGATAGATAGATAGATAGATAGATAGATAGATACGGTCAAACAGTAAAATACATATAGCAAAGACATATAAGCTGAGACAGCTGCAATTTGGCTCACAAAAGTGAAAAATTCAGAAAAATATCGAGGAATAAACGAAAAAAGTTGAAGAGACATAGAGACAGAAAAAGTAATCATGAACGTGTTGTCTGGGGATTATATTTCAAGGTTTCGCTCGATAATTTTTCCTGTTGGGGGTCGTAGTCTGTGGCATATATTTCCGTTAAATACAACAGATGCCGTTGCTTTTTAAACAAAGTTTCAATTTCGCAAATACTCTACTTACGTTCTTTGGTAACAGTAGGCACCAGTTAAGCGATGTTGTAAATAGTGACGCCAATCCGATTATGTATGGTTTGGTTTTAGGTAAAAGAGTTTATAGCGCTTTATACGGTTAATAGTGTCGGACTGTAACTTTGGAAATCTTATAACGTAAGTGGACATTGCATCGTAGATGACCATTCATAGGCTGATGTCAGAAATATAAAAGTTGCTTTTAATTTTAAAAAGACTGATATAAAGTGATTTTATTTTTATTCTATTTTTTTTTATCGACAAAGACTTTCGATTTTATTGTTTTCACTATAACATTTCGGATTGTGTTTTCTCTTTCCTTCCGTATATGTAAGGTTTAAAGGGTAACCTTCAACAAGTCTTCAAGAGAAATATTTATTTCCCTCAGTGAGTGTGAAAAAAGTGAGGTATTAATCTTTGTTCATTATATCCAGTACCCTTTCGAGAGATTCAACACGTTGCTTCTACTGCCAATTAACTTTCTTTAAACGTATTTCTTGCTATATAATTCGCATTTCCCCAGTTCCTGAAAATTTTGCTTTAAAAACATCCCACACGTTATCCAATGAAAGTTAATTCTTTAGAAGAGACTTACAGGTTGAAGTGAATGATACTCACACATATTCGCCTGGATATTTCTTATCTATGTATCCCATATTTTTATTCTTAACAATGGGAGAAATAAATTATTGAAACACTACAAGCTCTTGTCAAAAGGCTCTTTAAGAATTTAAAAGCAATTGATTAATTTCTTAAAATTTCTTTGCCAAAACACAGGTGCGTATAATATGTCTGCGAACATTATATGGTCAAAATGCAGTAACTGTTTTTTTGTTTAAGTCTACGCATAATTGAAAGGAATGAGTAAAACAGAATGTGTTAATTTTCGATTTCAATCATCGTTACTGATATCAGATTTATAATAATCATTTTTTTCATTTTTTAATATACCGTACCTATGAACACTAATGGGTATGTCCCAATCCTCATAAATACGTTGGACACTATTGTAAGTAGGGGTACTATGCTTTCTACACTGGCAGCGTGAGCTGTCAGTGTGAGCTGTCAGTGTGGGAAGCTCTTGCCGTGTTGAATTATCAGCCTTCGGGCAAAGAGGAACCCAGACGAGGCCATTACGAAGGTCAGAGTCTCGTCCGAGGAGGTAGACACCCGATCTTGCGTATGCGGGGTCTACAGGTAATTTTTGCCCGAGCCCACGGACTCGGATTTCCCCAGATTAAATTTGGCCTTGTGCCACATCCTACCTTGTGGGGAGGGGCAGGTAAATATCGTAAGTAGTGCACTACTAACAGTGGTTTACCTACTTCACGCCGCTGGCGAGTATTGTATTTTGTTTATACTATAAAAATTACCATTTCATTTCCAACCTCCGTTTTGGTTATTTCTCTATTCACTAACCCTTTCTAGGTTACAACAATTTTCTAGTGAGTTAAGTATAGAATTTCTGATAAGTGTCACCGTCATTTCTCCAGCAATTGTTAGCTGATCTCATGCCTTTCAATTTACGCAATCAAAAGCAGGAAGAATCATTCACAAAAATTCTTGGGAAAATGGCCGGCGACAAACTTCGAAAATAGACAAAATAGCCCGACCATGAACGGATTGCATAAAAAGTAGTTTCTCAGAGTTTTGGAAATAATGCGCGTCGAGAAATTTTCAGCACCCTTTCATACATACGACGTCCAACCCAACTGTTTGAGGATTTTTAACAACTCATGCAAGCCAAATATAGTATGGACTTTTACAGTTACCTACAATGATCAGTACTTTTTATGAACCAGTGTGTATATACCTAAAATTCACCATGCTCCTTATATATATATATATATATATATATATATATATATATATATATATATATATATATATATATATATATATATATATATATATATATATATATATATATATATATATACCTGATACAATGAGAACGAAAATAACATATATATTCTAACGTTCGCAGCATTAATTCAAAAGATGTCTCGATAGTAGAGCAATAATGTTTTATTATAATTTTATCATACAGACAAAAAGAGTTTACTCACTACAAAGATGCAACTTCGTTTCGGTGCATTTCAATTGCACCTCGACTGGTCAGAACCAAAAATGGCTATCATCCAACGGTTGAAATGCACCGAAATGAAGTTACATCTTTGTAGTGAGTAAACTGTGTTTGTCTACATGATAGAATTATAATAAACAATACATATATATATATATATATATATATATATATACATACACACAGTGTGCCCCCCCCCCAATGTTCTCCCTCTTTAAATGACAATAAATTTTATTAACTTGTAAACAAGATAAATAAACATGTGTGCGTTAAAGTCTAGTTAGAAACAAAGCAGACGAACGGAACTTTTATACATAGTCAATACAGGATGAAGCAGAAATATTTCCCATATTTTAAGCTGTCACCTAGGTGGTATTAGTGAACTTAGGCAAGTGTCAATAGTATTTTCATCTAGCTCATGTCTTGCCATATTTTTCAGTTACCATCTTGTGCCTACCGTGCGTTTGCTGTTGAAATTAGTTTTAAGACTGCTAAATCTGTAATTGCAACACAGAGTTTTTCAGGCTCATTTCATGTTACGTCGGAATGATGCTGTTCCGGATAAAAAATCAATACTGCTGTGGGTTAAAATTTTTAGGGCCACAGGTTCAGCGCTTAAAAGAAAAAATTTAGAAGACCTTAGAATTCGTCTACAATAGTGTATGGCGAATAGAGGCCACCATTTGCAGATGTCATTTTTAAAACTAAAAGATTGAAAACAAGTGTTTAAACAACAGTGAAATACCTTTTTAATAGCAGTTACCTTGGTCTTTTTGCCAACCTTTACAATGTGGGAGGTGTTTCTGTCGCGCTCTGTACATAAATTATCTATATTATAACGTAACTGATCTTTTATTAATGCTTTTTATCGACGTGAAAATAATCGAATTATCTTTATAGAGGACGCACTTTTATTAAGGAAATATTTACTAAAAATAAATCATCTTATTTTCTACGTGCAAACATGGGGCACATTTATTTATAGCTGAGTATTTAAACTTGTTTGAAATGTTTTTTGTATTCCCTATTAAAATAAGTATGTGTTTCACGTGTCTCTTGGTACAATACGATCTTAATTATAGAACAATAATTTCCATTAATGATACTATGGAATTATACATAATATATATGCTTTCTCATTATTAATTAATGAAACTATGATATTATACATATAACTATTCTACCACAGAATACCTTCCTGGGTAGGACGATAAAATACATTCGCGTTCTGGGTAGGACGATAAACTACGTCCGACAGAAAGGCCTCTGATCGGGAGGCTCTGAGGAGCGTGGAACCACCTCTTAATTTCTGGTGTTCCTAGGTCCACCCTGACCTGTGGTGGTAGCACCTGTTAGGGTCCCAGCTATGGGCATATAGTTAACTCCTAAGCTGGGGTTAAAACACTATGAAAATACGTTTTAATACCAGAAATACTTTGTAAAAACTTATTACCAGCAATAAATTTTTGAAGCAAAAATAATTACCAGCAATCCATTTTTTAACAAAAAAAAAAAAATTACCAGCAATACATTTTTGAAACAAAATATTAGCAGCGATAAAATTTTGTCGGCATTAAATAAGCCTATGAGGTTGATATGCCGTAAAACAAAACATACCAAACCAAACCATTGTATTCACGTGTTAATTTCTGATACCTTTCTAGAGGAAGTTTCTTTTTTACACGCAGTTTTTAAAAAACTCTTATTCGTTTTTTTTTATATAACAATTGAAAATAAATAAATTGAAATGTTGAGCGATGTACTTCTGCAATGGTGGGAGGGTGGGTAAAGATACATTGGAATAGCAAAAGATGTTTTTGTAATGTCTTTTTAATAAATATTAAGAAACAAGATAGTTTCGTTAGAAACTAAGAAAAAAGGCTGAACTGCTACGTAATATCAATACACCAATATGACAGTGAATGTTGAACAATTTCCTCAAAGATGTGCTAAGAAAGATGAGGACCTACAGAAGGATGCTGAAAAATACCATGGACGGAGCATGCGAACAACGAGCAAGTTTTAACAAAAATTTGTAACGAAAGGGATACTTGTACTTAGAATCAGAAAGAGACAATTGAAATTTCTGGGCACATAATGAGGAAAGAGGGTTTAGTGAATTTGACATTCACAGAGTATCCTGAATGCAAGAGGAACAGAGTGAAAAGTCAAGTGAGCAACCTAACGTGTTTGCGTAAATGGATGGCAGAGCAAGGATTAGGATAAGGGGATAAACATTGCTTAAAGCTACAAAGGATAGGAAGTTACAGTGAGATGAGATAGTCCACGTCCTGAAAGGTCAAGTACTCATCGTTTAGAATATTCGTCCTTAAAGTCGATTTTCAATGATAAAACCCCACATTCATATACGAGAATAAGTTAAAAATTATACGCACTACCACCAAAACATATAACATAACAAGGCTGTGTATATAGTACATATACTAACGTCACTTAGTTCCCAAACGCTAACCACACCCTATTACTACCTGCGTTCACATCAATTTTCATGCCCAGTCACGTTGCCTATGTATGCAACTGTTTATGTATGTGATGTAATATGATTAAAATATAATTTAAAAAATTATGCAAAACTGTATTTATGCTTGTCTGTCTGTCAGCCTGTCTATCTGTCAGTCAGGATAGACGGATAGATAGATAATGAACAGACTGAGATAGATAGATAGATAGATAGATAGATAGATAGATAGATAGATGTAACACTTCTCACCGGTCGGTCCCTGGTCAATACTGCCGT